CCAGTGCTCACACCTTTCTGCACATAAAAGAATTCATTCTGGAGAGAAACCCTACAAATGTCAAGAATGCAACAAAACCTTTAAGCAGTCCTCACACCTTTCTGTACATCAAAGAATTCATTCTGGAGAGAAACCCTATAAATGTGAAGAATGTGGAAAAGCCTTTAACTGGTCCTCACACCTTTCTGTACATCGAAGAATTCATTCTGGAGAGAAACCCTACAAATGTGAAGAATGTGGAAAAGCCTTTAACCGGTCTTCACACCTTTCTATACATAAAAGAATTCATTCTGGAGAGAAACCGTATAAATGTCAAGAATGTGGCAAATCCTTTAACGATTCCTCAAATCTCTCTGTACATAGAAGAAGTCATTCTGGAGAGAAACCCTACAAATGTCAAGAATGTAACAAAACCTTTAAACAGTCCTCACACCTTTCTGTACATCAAAGAATTCATTCTGGAGAGAAACCCTACAAATGTGAAGAATGTGGCAACGCCTTTAATTATTACTCAAATCTCTCTGTACATGAAAGAATTCATTCTGGAGAGAAACCCTACAAATGTGAAGAATGTGGCCAAGCTTTTAAGAATTCCTCAACCCTTTCTATGCATAAAAGAATTCATTCTGGGGAAAAACCCTACAAATGTGTAGAATGTGGCAAATCCTTTAGGCATTCGTCAGCCTTGTCAGTACATAAAAGAATTCATTCTGGGGAGAAGCCTTACAAATGTGAAGAATGTGGCAAAATTTTTAACCAGTACTCAAACCTTTCTGTACATAAAAAAATTCATTCTGGAGAGAAACCCTACAAATGTGAAGAATGTGGCAAATCCTTTAACAATTCCTCAAGCCTTTCTGTACATAAAAGAATTCATTCTGGGGAGACACCCTACAAATGTGAAGAATGTGGCAAAGCCTTTAAGGATCCCTCAACCTTTTCTACACATAAAAGAATTCATTCTGGAGAGAAACCATACAAATGTGAAGAATGTGGAAAACCCTTTAACAATCCCTCATACCTTTCTCGACATAAAAAAATTCATTCTGGAGAGAAACCATACAAATGTGAAGAATGTGGAAAAGCCTTTAACAATCCCTCACACCTTTCTCGACATAAAAAAATTCATTCTGGAGAGAAACCATACAAATGTGAAGAATGTGGAAAACCTTTTAACAATCTCTCACACCTTTCTCGACATAAAAAAATTCATTCAGGAGAGAAACCCTACAAATGTGAAGAACGTGGAAATGCTCTTAAGCATTACTCAACCCTCTCTGCACATCAAAGAATTCATTCTGGGGAAAAACCCCACAAATGTCTCAAATGTGGAAAAGCCTTTAATCGTTACTCAAGTCTTTCTACACATAAAAGAATTCATTCTGGGGAGAAACCCTATGAATGTCAACAATGTGGCA